GGCTCTGCTCCCAGGGAAGGGGCGATGGGACGAGGGGCAGCGGCCTCAAGTTGTGCCAGGGCAGGGTGAGGTTGGAGGGCCAGGGTTTGGGGGTGGGATGGCAGGGGTAGGGGAGCGGTTGGGCTGGGGGAGCTTAAAGGGCTTCTCCAACCCAAACGATTCCGTGATTCTGTGTTTCTGTGATCCCTGTCAGGAATGCAAAGGCCGCAAGGCCAGGAGACTGTTGCCAAATTTCTACCCTCAATCCTGATGGGCAGGTGCCTGAAAGTCTCAAGGAGAGCTGTGCAAGATGAGGCACCATCGCTTAGGATGCATTTAACTGTCATAGGGCTCACCCCCTGGGCCAGACGGGACCATATATGAATTTTCAGGCCTTCTGTATGGCAAAGGACTCTGCTGACTAAGCTCAGGAACCGCCTTAACTTTGTCTGGGCGGGCTTGGAAAGCTCAGCCTGGAAAAAAAAATAAAACCACCACCTTATTGAGATATATACCTTATCTTAGTAACTGCAGATTAAGGAAGCAAACTTATTTTCCAGTCCCTGTTCCTGGTGTTTCCAGTCCCTCCCATAATGGCATAACCGTACATCGCACGGCTGCTCGGTCAGAACCGTCAGATGAAAGGCACAAAGGCAGAGAGAGGAGGGAGGTCTGGTGTGAGGCTCCGGAGGTGTCAAACTCCTGTGATTTGACGTAAGAATACTTGATTGTGTTATCAAGGAAGCCCCCTGAGATGTAGGCTGGTCCTCTGCTGAGGGAGGACCTCCGGGGGGGTCAGGCCAGCTCCCTCCGCACGCTCCAGGTGATCCTGGACAGCGACTAACACCTTTGGTGGCCTCGGTCTGTGGTTGCTAAATCAGCAAACGTTATTCTCCGGCTGAGCTGCCCAGACAGTGGCTGGACCACAAACCTTCCTGGTTGTGCAAGGGAAAGGAACTGGTTTGATTGCGGCTCGCTTGGGTGAGAGGCGAGCGGCGGCGAGCCGGCAGACGGCCAGAAGTACGTCTGCGACAGAGCCGAGAGAAATGGCGCTTTCTGATAAACTCCCGATTAAAAGATGGGTGGGATTCTGAGGGAGGCTCTTCCGTCGTCCGAATCCCTCCCCGTTGAGGCACGCAGGGAACATTTGTCTCAAACAAACAGCGTCACATTAAAAGAAAAAAGAACAGCACGATCGATTTTTTTTTTTTTTTTTTTTTTTTTCCCCTTCTCATGGGAAACGCTCCAAATTTCATTTGACTCCTGGGCTCAGAAGGAGAAATCAACCAAAACTACAAATGAACTTGGCTGGATAATGAACAAAAGGTGAAGTGCGACCAAGGACCGGGGTTGCTGAGATCAACTTTCTGCAGGAGGGTTTTGGTTGGTTGATCTGTTGGTTTTTTTTTTTAACCTTGCTCTCTACTCTGACACCGCCACCCTCCGCTTTGGAACCTGCAAACATCAGCTGCTTAACGAGGTCCTGCATCAATAGCGGATGCCAGAAAGTTTCCATTTCACTCCGAAAACACTTTCCGGGTCACAGCTTCGTTTCCTCAGGGTAGTAAGGCTTCAAAGGGGTCCCAAGCCGCTTCAGAAGCTGGTTCTGCAGCTGAATCCTCCTCCCCGAAAACATTTTACTCCTTTCTGCCAGCTTTGTCCTAGGCCACGAGCACCCCGTTGATCCAGAGCAGCTCAGCTGGTGCGCACACTCGTAATTCGGTACTTGGTATAGTTTGAACACTTCAGTCGTTTTTGCTCCCGGTGCGTACTGGATTATTGGCCTTTGTGCCTTTCGAGTCTTTCACCTGATAAAGTAACTGTCTGATGTATCGTAACGACCGTCTCTTATATAAATTACGGACGTTCGTAAGCAGATAATGGGCACATCCTTCAGTGTTAACCAGAAAATACCCATTTATCACATTTCTGATTGCTGGGTAACACCCTTATCATTTAACTGGCTGCTTTTCTGCGTCTCCCTTCATTGCAAAGAACAAATTCGAACACGATTTAGTTTATCCCCTACTCTGTCCTTAGAGTTTATCAATATAAATTGTTTAACTGCGCTCCAGCCCTTCCATGTCCGTGGAGACGGCTTCTCAAACAAGCCTTAAAAATATCGATCTCCCTTTGGAAAGTCAAGTCCCCTTTCTCGCAATAACATTGGGGTTTTGACCGGGTTATCAGCCGCGCTACGAACAAATTGTCCTTGATTAAACCACAGGGTACCTATTCGGATTTGTATGACTCATATTTATTATACAACACTCAATTGGCCTCACGTGGTGCGTGTCTCCGGCCAGGACGAGAGGTGCCTTTCCTGAGACGTGTGCCCAGGTCGCAGCACTTCTCTAACAGCTGGGTGACCTTGCCCAGCTGCCCGCAGTCCCCTTCACGTTCCTCTCCCCTCAGCACCTCGAGCGCGCCTCACCCAGCAACGCGGAGCCTTCCCCTCTCCTAGCACAACCCTTAGCCCCGCTCCGCGGCTGCGGGAATGCGGAAGTATGGGTGGAAAAGCGGAGGCTGGCTTCGTGCAGAGGGTGACGGGATCAGAGCTTCCCCTTTTCCCAGGAGGAAGAGCTAACGCAGCTATTCAAGAGGGATTTGTTTTTATCTCTTGGTTCCAGCTACGCCACCCGAAAAAAAAATGCCGTTACGTGAATTTTTGGCACGTTGCTGAGGTCTGTATGTCCTGGCTCGGCGCAGCGGTATCTCAGCTCACAGCTAAGCACGCTGGATCCACCTCTGCTTCACTGTCTCCCCTCCTCTTGCACTTCTGGTGGATGAAAAGCTGGCCATGAGCCGGCAATGGGCGCTGGCAGCTCAGAAGGCCCAACCCTACCCTGGGCTGCATCAGGAGAAGCGTGGCCAGCGTCGAGGTAGGGGATTCTGCCCCTCTGCTCTGCTCTGGGGAGACCTCCCCTGGAGCCCTGCGTCCAGCTCTGGAGCCCTCAGCACAAGGAGGACATGGACCTGTTGGAGCGGGGCCAGAGGAGGGCTACTAAAATGATCCGAGGGCTGGAGCCCCTCTGCTCTGAGGCCAGGCTGGGAGAGTTGGGGGTGTTCAGCCTGGAGAAGAGAAGGCTGCGGGCAGAGCTGAGTGCGGCCGGTCAGGGCTT